TGAGCATACACAAGTCTCCACTCACAACTTGCCAGTGTAAGAAAAGGTCTGATAAACTATTAGAAAGGAAAACCTGGCAGTCTGGCTCTGACATGGATTTCTAACGCAGCTTCTCTAAGTAAGTCACTTAAACATTTCATTTCCAGTGGGGCAATACTTAAACAGCAGCACTTCTCTGGTCCAGAGGGAGCTGCGAGGATCGGCATGCTCCTGTCTGCAAGGCGGCAGCGCTGGAGCGGGCTCTGCATGCATTGCCCCATTAGCTGGGGTGAGTATGTTTTCTCTTGCTGAGTTTGGAGAGGATGGATGCTGTGTTGATTTAGGCTCATTTTTCTCCTCCTTATTCAAGAAGCATTGAGCTTATTAATAAAGTGATATTTATTTTTTGATGTTGGCTTCCAGCAGCAGCTCAGCATGACAGTTCTTTTAAATACCTGATTATCCCCCAAAACATTTGTCACAATCCCTGTTTTACTGACAGAGAACAGAAAAGAAAAAATCCAACATCTGACCTGTATTATTTTGAGAACAAACACTCAGAGAGAAGACAAGGAATTCAGCAGAAGCTGCCAAGGAGGGGAACTGGTTCCTCGCTCCTTTACCACGGGAGGGCAAATGCAGCAAGCTTTCACTTCTCTGAACCTTGTCCCTGCTTGATTGCTCAGCATAAAATCAGGCTTCAAAAGAGAAACTGTCTTTCCCTGGCAGGATCAAAAAGTAGGTTCAGCCCCACTACACTGAGTATTTTTCTCTCTGCAGTTTGTAGATCCCCAAACAGGGGAGAAGGCTGCTTGTGGCTCTGCACCTTTGAACCAACCTCATCTCAAACCAACCAACATCTCAAATACAAAGCGTAGGGGATCCAAGTCCTGCAGAAGTGTTACCTCTGGAGCCAGCCCAGCATCTCTCCCACCATGGAGTCTCCACAGTCACTTCCTAGCCCAAAGCTTCTCCCACTCCTTCTCCCTGAGCTGGCTGGCTCTTGTCCACAACCAACAGAGACACCTTCCCTGTGCTGCTAAATAGAAGCTTCTCGATGCTGATGGTTCACTTTCCTCAGCTCCTACCACCATGGCCATTACAGGGAGTTGAACGTCCATTTTTGCCGCTGTGCACAGAACGAAGACATACGAGCATCTGACATAACTTGGAAGGTGGGTAGCAAGGTGGTGAGAGACTCCAGCACCGCAGAGGCTCACCGTACCCATGACTTTGTCAAAAAAACACAGAAAAAATTGTCAAAATAGAAAATTAAGGAGTTCTAAGACACAAATTAGAGTCAGTTGTCATTAATACAAAGCAGAGCAGCAGTCCTGCATCAGATAGTCACTACAGCACTGATAAGAAGTGGGCATTTTTAGTTAAGCTGGTTCTTTGTGCAATTCCCACTATACACTGTCCCCCACCACAGCTTTCGCATGACATGAAAGATTAGCACAGGAGTGCAGAGAAAAGCTGACGAGGAGTCGGAAGCCCCAGTCCAGACCATGGGGGGAAAATTATATTCAAAAGTGCTGGAGACTCGACCTGCGCAAGCAAAACCAGCACCCAGCATTGTACACCGAGCAGGTCCAAGAGAATTTGCACTGGCTCGTACAGAGCACAGCAATCTCCTTCTCATAAAGCAAGTCGCCGTTGGTTGTAACCAGCTTCAAGCAAGACTTGATTCCCAAAAATATTCACATAAAAATAATTTTGAAAAGAGATAGCAGCAGCCTGGCAGAGACTTAGCTGCCTGCTGTGCCTGCCTCTCCTCTAACGAGTGGTAAATTGAGACACCTCGCAGCTTAATGCTTTCATCATCGGCATGCTACCCTCAAGTTACACAGTAAATGCTCCTTCTTTATCCCATTTACACACTGCATCAACGGGCAGAGATCAGCCAGAGACACCTATCTGAAAATGCTTTCCTTATATTCCCAATATTATCATTTACAAATGATAACGATAGCAAATCAACACCCTAGGAACAGCACACACACTGCCCAGAAACGGTAAGAACTCCCACAGACACTCGTAAACTTAACTGAGACTTGCAGCAACGCGTACGCACGTGCTAGCGCACAGAATTTTTTCTCCCCAGGAGATACAGACCTGTCTGTATCTCCGTTCCGAGCACACCTTGCAGAGTCCATTGAAACGGTTCATGGCTGGAAAACCCTAAACTCGCCGTTAGCCCATGAAAATCCAGTCCCCCGAAGCAGCCGTAATCCCGATCTCCTTGTATCACACGAGTGTGGAACAAACCACAGTCAAACTGGCATGACCGCCCATGGGAACCCAGCTCCAGAGAAGAATGGCAGGAAGCCACCTTTCACCTCCCCAGCCCCTGTCTGTGCTGTATGCCGCTTTACGATAAGCCAGAGGGCTTCCTGAAAACCCTAACTGACAAGGAAGGGAGAGAGTTTTATATTAAAATTCCTGTCAACTATTTAGTATTCCCTAGTCCCTGCTCTGTTGATGTGGCTTTTGTTCCCGTGGCATTCTTCAGCCGCACGGAGCACTTTGTTATTGCAGTGTTCTCACAAACACTTTGAGGATGTTTAAGCGGCGTTTCACAGGCACCGGCTGCGCGAGCTTCACTTCATTAAAAAGACAGCTTGCACTCGTTACACTTGTAAAGGATAAGAGAGATCTTTTAAAAAAAAATAAAAGAAAAAAAAAAGAAAAAGCAGAGTTTGTTTTTGAAAGCACAGACTGAGAGGATACACATCCCGACGCTTTGTGCTCACAGAGTCACGGAGGGGGAAGGAGAGAGGTCAATTGAATTGCACCCACGGTGTAATTTTGGAATTAAAGACAAAGAGAAACTCTTAACCCAGCCAGCAGCAGGGCACAAAGCAGGACTCAGTGAGTCTGCACTGTGCATCCCAACTGCCAGTGCTGCGGCACAACCCCTTGGAGGTGGGGTTGCAATGCAGAAGAAAGCACCTTCCACGCTCCTGCGTGGGGAAGGAAAAGAGAGGAAAGGCTCAAGGGAACCCAAACCCCGGGCTCCCCTGCACGGCAGCTGGGGTGGCAGGGCCAGGGGAGGCTGGGGAGGGAGCGCAAGGAGCCCCAGCGTTCCCAGGGGACCCGGCAGCATGGTGGGGCCATCGGAGGAGCTTCCCCGGGGCCACTCAGGACACATTGTC